CAGCTTTCGTCTACTTTCACGTTCTTCATCAGATTCAATGCCATCTTCAGTCGTTGAAGCTGCAGTGGCGGCTGCCAAATCAGCTTGAGCTGCTCAAATTCGCTTTTCACGTTCAGCTTTACGGCGTATTGCCATTAGCATGCTCATGTCCATCACTTTTGCACTCCTGCGTGAGTCCAATGATGAAGGAAAGAGTCAAGCATGAAACTCAGTCATTTTAGTGACTTTCTTCTTGCATAAAGTCACGCTAATATAGAGTATACGTAGGCGTACGTGCGTGCGTGCGTGCGTAGGGTAGCATACATCCATTGTCAGCCAACTTGATTACTTATCCTTTTGGATGACCATGATGAGAAAAGGCTTGAATTTGAATGGCCCATTCAAAAAAAAAGCATGTCATACCATACCTGCTGCTCCCGTTGCAAATGCATCGATGGATCATTTAGCTGGCCATGTCAATAACGATAGGTGCATACACAAAACTTTCACCATCCAAAGGTTTAACTCCTTCACTCATACCTGCAGAGCAGAATGGTGCCGCAGAGGTCTCAACGGACGGACAAGAGAGCAGAGTGCAGCAAACTTACCAAAGCTGCAAAGAAAGAACTTATCGAGAAGCCGGAAAAGCGGGATATCCCAGATCCATCGGATGGTTAGTAAGAGTCATAAATAGTAGCTGCAGATGATTGGTCAAAAAGTATTGGTTTGAAAGCCAGCAAAGCGGGATATCTCAAAACCATCGGATGGTTAGCAGAAAGAACTGAGGATTACGGCAGCAGATTGTGCAGATAAATCCAAGCTATCAAGGAAGCCATTGTGCAAACGTCAAAGAAGCGTGATATCTCAGATCCATCTGATGGTTGATAAGAATTCAAGATGGTCAAACATAAATCAGCAGCGATGCAATATATCAGACATGTTAAGGCTGCCAAGCATCAATTGCCAGGAAGCCGAAAGAACGGGATATCTTAATTCCATCGGATGGTCCAACGAAAGCTTAGAACTGTGAATCATGCTAGCAATTGGATGGTCTTTTTGTTCATGTAACATGCATGTGGATTATGGTAAGTTAACCTGTCTGTCAGATTCGATTTTGACATACTTAACAGTCTAGGGAAAATCATCTGAA